CTGGACAGGGTGGATTGAAGGGCTGAGGCCAATTGTATGAGATTCAACAAGGCCAAGTGCCGGGTCCTGCACTTGGGCCACAACAACCCCCTGCAACGTTACAGGCTTGGGGATGAGTGGCTGGAAAGCTGCTTGGAGGAAAAATGCCTGGGGATGTTGGTTCACAGCTGGATGCTTATGGGCCAGCAGTGTGCCCAGGTGGCCAAGAAGGCCAATGGCATCCTGGCCTGCATCAGGAGCAGTGTGGCCAGCAGGACCAGGGCAGGAATTGTCCTCCTGTACTGGGCACTGGTGAGGCCGCACCTCGATTCTTCTGTTCAGTTTTGGGCCCCTCACTACAAGAAAGACATTGAGGTGCTGGAGCGTGTCCAGAGAAGGGCAATGGAGCTGGGGAAGGGTCTGGGGGTCGGAGGGTGTGCAGCCTGGAGAAGAGGAGGCGCAGGGGAAAGCTTATCGGCTTCTACAACTACCTGAGAGGAGGTTACAGAGATGGGTGTTGGTCTCTTCTCCCAAGTAACAGGCAATAGAACAAGAGGAAATGGCCTCAAGTTGTGCCAGGGGACATTTAGATTGGATATTAGGAAAAATTTCTACATTGAAAATGTCAGGCACTGGCACAGGCTGCCCAGGGAAGTTGCTGAGTCACAATCCCTGGAGGTGATAATGAGTGTAGACGCTCATAATTTTAAGAGTTTAACAGACATGTAGATGTGGTGCTTAGGACATGGTTTAGTGGGGACTTGGCTATGTCAGGTTAACAGTTGGACTTGGTCATCTTAAAGGTCTTTTCCAACCTAAATGATTCTATGATTCGATTAACCATACCTAGAATGAGCCATGCAAGTTTTGTCCCTATTCTCTGCAAAGAAAGAATTGTAGATTATTTTGGTGAGAGGAGGAATGAGCAAAATACAGATCAGTCTTAAATTTGAGGAATATTAAGAAAATTTATTTCAAGAAAGATAATTCCACCTCACAGTTCTCCAGGAAGGGGAGAGTTCTTGGGTGTGCCCAACCCTGCATTACCTAGCTGTCCCACATCGCAGACACTTGGAACTTGCAGGCAGCTGAGAAGGGACATGTTGGAACTAGATGATCTTTAAGGTCCCTTCCAACCCAAACCATTCTATGATTCTATGATTCTATGAAATAATGCAGAGAAGTTTTGTAAACTGCCTGGCAGGCAGGAGTCCAAAGGAACACATTCAAAATTGAATTGCCTCTGTGGAAATTTCCAATTTTGACAAATCGGTAAATGCTGATGAGGAACCTTTTCATCTGACTTTTCTGACCATCTCCATTACTCAAGCTGTGATTGATTCAGACTTCAGCTACTGCTGCTTTTTCTGCCAAGCAGCTTACTTCAGCTGAGCCAGCTCTTCTACTGAGGAAGGAGTCAGCAGGACTTCAGACCATCAGAAACGGTATCCCAGCAGATATAGGGTAGGAGAGCTTGCATAATGGAATGGACAAAGGTGCCGATATCAACTCTAACTAATCTCTGAACTACTAATTTTTGATGAGTCAATGATGTTGACATTTTCTAGTGTGGATACTTAATATCAGACAGCTAAAGCTATATTTGGTAAACATCTGTGCTTTCCATTACTTACATTTCATTTAATCCTTCTGCCTCACCTTCCCAATACAGAAAAATGAAGATGATAATAACCTCTCTGAAGATAATAATTTATAATTAATGTTTGCAAAATCCAAAGTGTCATTAAAGCACTCGCTAAGCCTTCCAGCTAAGGCTTGATAGGACTCTATAAATCTTCTGCAATCTGGTATATTTATTGCTTTTTCTAACTTCTTGATTTTTTTTTTTTTTGTATTGATATAACAGTTCAAGTGAGGAAAGGGAATCAGAAGAAATCAGTGGTTTAGAACCATGTGAAACATGGTGTTAATAGTTACTGCTGTTACTGCTCCTATAGGATGTGGTTTTCTTCCTCTCTTTATCCTTAACTTTCTTGACTCTTCTCAAGAAACGTAATAACATTTGCTGAATTTCAAAGCACTTCATGTGATGACGGCATCTACATGTCATATTCTTTGTCTGAGATTTTTTGCACTAAAAGAAACATCAGAAATAGAAACTATCTTTACCCGTTCCTGTTTCTTTGTTTAATGTTCAAAAGCAGTGATTCAGAACAGCTTAAGAGCTCACAAGTATAAATGAGTCAGCCACCCCTCCTCCCCAAAGAGGGTGGTTCTTTAAAAACTAGACTGTTATTCAAAAGCACTAGGCCTCCATTGACAGAAACTCTTTTGAAAATCACGCCTTTTAGTTATGTGATTACATGTCAATTGAAGGAAAATATTTTTATAATTCCAGTGGAAAAATCTTGGCCTTAATTTTTCTCAAAAAAATAGACTTTAGATTTGCACACACACACATGTTGCATTGAACATTTTTAGCTAGAACATTCCTCCTGCTTTTGCACAAGCACTGATGATCCAGAACTGTTTGAATCTTCAGTGGGCCAAGTGTGATGACTTGTGTTGTTCTTGAGAGAACATGAGTTATAAAAAACCTGTAACTGTGGTGCCTGCTGGACGAATTCTGATTAGGGAGTCTATCTGAAACTGGTCTTTGTGCCTCTCAGGTGTTATAACAGGAAGTTATAAGTGGGACAAACTGGTATGTTTTAAACAGACTTTATTTGATGAGCATGTCTTCTTTCAAAGCAATAACTACAATGTTTGTTGTAAAAAAGGATGAATTCAGAAGTATGGAGAAATAATATGATAAAATGTGTGATTTTTTTTTTTTTATTAACATTTAAAAGCAAGGTAAGCCTGAAGATTCCATGTCCTGTAGTTTACTATATGTAAATTGTAAAGTCATTCCCATGTGCCAAATAATATGTCAGAAGCAAACAGCTGATAGCAACACGTTGACGTTACAAGAGGGCCATGCTTCCAGCAATTTGGGGGATGTGTGTCTGCAGATTAATATTTGCCAAGTGACTTCCTTGCCCAAAGTAGGGTTCATTCAGATTATACCAGTATAATTGAAATTAGCTTTGGTTCTCTGCTGTCAGGATTCTTGATTTCCAGTCATATTTTTGTAACACCAGTGTTTTTCATGAAATTGTAATTAAGATTTTGTGTTGTCAATATAGTAGAGACCAAATTTCACAGTACAGGCCAAATTTCACAGTAAGTCCCTGCAGCACTGTTTTACCCCCTGAAGAGTAGCTCTCTTGACACTTTTCCATTTCATTTCAGCCTGTGCCAGGTAACCATTTGGAGAGAGTAATCTTTTTTTCTGGAGAGTGTCCTGCAGCCAACATGCAGTCACTAGTCTTCTGAACTGTACCTGTGGTTTCTGTATGATATTTCATCCAGACCCATACTGTCCATGTTGAATAATAAGAACAATGCAGACTCAGCACCTCTTGTTGTCCACTGATTTAAAAGTAGTTTGCAATATGTTTGGAGCAGAAATCAACTCAGCTTGTGTGTGGATGCTGCATATGGCATTACAGAAGTCTCTATCACACAGATATCTCTCAGGTTGTGCAAGTGAAGTGTGCTTTTTGAACTTTCAGAGTGACACAGAGTAAGAATCAGCCTTGATTTGTTGCTTAAAAAGCATAGATAATCCTGGAAAGAAGATTTTTTGAGTAGGAAAAGCTTTACAAAATCCTGTATTCCACTAAGCACATCTAATGTTTGGCTGGAGAAGGAAATTCAAGTTTCTCTGAAGATAAGAATGCAGGAATGTGCCTCCTCCATGTTCTAGAAGTTTTCTGAAAGTACTCTGTCACCCCATCTCTGCTTTGGGTGCAGCTACATCCCTTTGAAAATACACTGCTCCCCCTGCAGCTGGTCACGGAACAGTGTTGCCTTTGCCTGGTGTCTGGTAGAGTATCTCCTGACCTGGGTGAGGATATTAATTTCTCCCAACAGAGGGCTGTTGGTCTTTATACAATTAATAGTAAAATCAGCCTATGCCACGTATTTGCCAAAAGGTAGCTTTTAGGAATATAAAGTCTATTGACTACCCGTACTAAATCATGATTAACCATGGAAATCATAATGTAACAGCAGGATCTCTCATGCAACAGGCAGCTGTATTACATTTAGGAATGGGAAATTCTGGGTTGAGTCAATTGCAGCTAGTTGAATTCAAATACTTCTACTGCAGCTAGTTGTATCCAAATATTTCTTTTCCAGCTAGCAACTGGCTTTAAGGCAGAGAATTCCTTGTGTTGACTGTCTTGAATGCAGACAGTAGTTGGCAACTGCTGTAAGAAATTTCCTGTGTGTGCTATCCCTCTTAGTGAACATCATTCCATTTTGAGCCTAATTGAAAACTGAAGATAGAAAACTCAGCAATTATTTTTCCCTGCAGTACAATATTTAATATTCTGATTTCATGGCTGTCTGACTACAATGATTAGGAAGAACGTTTTCTTATAGTATTTACAGTACCACTACAATGTATCAGGAGCATCTTGTATCAAGGGAAAAAACTATTATGTTAAAATACATGCCACTTAAAAACATACCCAATTAAAAAGTAGGATGCTGTTGAGTGTTACATTTGGTGTAGTTGATAATTGCTTTGTAAGCTTTTTCTTGTCTTTGGCTTTGAAAAAGCTATGCAGGGTGAAGAAAACAGCCTTGAACTAGAAATGCTTTAATGGGAATGATCTGCAACAAGAGAGCTAACACCTCTGCAACAAAGGCATTTATGTTTTGGACTGTGCTACTGTGTTAAGTCCAAGACAGTGTGGTTATATTTGCTGGTGGAGAAATGGGAAATATGTGTGTAGTTACTGATGGTTGTATAGCAGAAGCAAACGACTCAGTGGGACAAACTCTTGTCTGATAACCTTTGTGTTAGGTGGGGGAGAGACCCCCAGTATTGACAACAGGATATGGGACAAGAAGGACAGAAGCTTGTTCAAAATGTCCCGTAATTTTGCATAAAGAGTTTGAAGTACTATAAATTTAAAATTTTTGACTGCTTTTTCTTTTTGTATCAGACAGTATAACTGAAGTCTTCACTAATATCTATGTGACCAGTTTTGGACCTGTTTCAGATACTGATATGGTGAGTTTCTGAATCTTTTTCATGTGTGATAAATGGTGTAAGATATATACTATTAACTTCCTCTGAACTTGTATTTTGCTTTTACTTACTGTTGGCAAATAGGGAATAATTTCACTGAAGTCAGGAAGTGCCCAATCTAGTATTTCTAGTGATTTGCTTATAGTCCTCAAGTACACTTAAACTACTATACTTACACTTGTAGGAGCTGTTTAGTTTGGACAAGCAAATCTTCTGATTATCCTCACTTACTCTACTTTGGTTCATATTCTGGAGCAGTCTTGAGATGGGTGAACTGGACTTCTCTTGGATGAAACCAGAATGTAAGGTGCACTGTAGGAACAGACTTAATTTTGGCAACAGTCTGAGGGACCTGACTGGAGTCAGTCTCAAATAAACATAGCTTGGAAGTTGGGTCATCAGCATGATTGTGTTGTTCTACAGATCTGTCCTTCATAATTTGCACTATTTAGTAACCATTTAAATGAAGTCAATGACATTAAAAAGAAAGAAACTGTCAGAATATTGTCCTGCATTACAGTTTTTCATAAAAACATCAGAGGAGAAAGGTCTGAGGCAAGGATCCTTTGTAAGCTCACTGTGAATCATGGACAGATTAAGGAGACTGTGTCACACTGGGGAGAAAGTTCTTCATGGATATAACATCTCTTAAAGGAAAGAAAGGAAGGATAAGGGCAGCTAAAGAAACTTTCAGGTTACCATTCCTGCAAGAAATTATTTCCTGCATGACAGTATTTTTTGAAGTGTTTTGAATATTCATGATTACATATGAGACATATAAAATACTACCTATGTGTATCTATATGTATTAAACCCCCATATTTTTTAAGCCAGGCAATGTTTACTTTTTCTATGTAAATTTTTGGGTTATGCATCATTTAAAACAAAACTTGATGTTACTAGCACTGTTACGACAAAGCTAAATATTTCATGGTATGGTGTGGATTTTAAAAATCCTAAGTTTACTTGATCGCTAACAGGTAATCATAGCTTTAGAGAATATATTCTAGTTCACTGTGTTTGTGTTTCGTATGTGATAATTTCAGTTTTCAAGCTTTGTTTCGATTGTGTTGAATACATTATTGCTGCTTCCCATGAAATGTCTTTTCATAGGAAAAATAGACATCTATTTTCCTTTTGTCACTGCATATGTCACTGCACCTAGGTTGGGGCAATCCCA